TTTTTGAGACAGAGTGTGGCTCTGTCAGCCAGGCTGGAGTATGGCGGCGCAGGGTCACAGCTCACTGCAGCCTCGAACTCCTGGACTCAAGCCATCCTCCCATCTCAGCCTCCCAAGTAGCTGAGACTACAGGCACACAGCACCGCACATGGCTAATTCAAAAAATTTTTTTGTCGAGATGAGGTCGCTTTGTTGCGCAGCCTAGCCTGAAACCGATCCTCCCATCTCAGACTCCCAAAGGGCTGGGATTCTAGGGGGGAGCCACGGTGCCTAGCCGACCTACATGTCTTGTTTATCATCTGTTTCTCTCCAAAAGAATGTCAGCTCCACAAGGGTGGGAGTCTATGTTATTCCCTGCCATATTCCCAGTGCCCTGGGCAGGGCCTGGAATGCAGCAGGCACTCAGTAATCGCTGGAGAACTATGAATGGGAGAGTCAAGTTCTAGGGCAGGAAGCTGGCCTGGGGCCGGATGGTACAGGTGGATTCCCTATGGCCCAGAAGATGTCTCTTTTTTTTCCTTCTTTTTTTTTTGAAATGGAGTCTCTTTCTGTCACCCAGGCTGGAGTACAGTGGTGTGATCTCAGCTCACTGCAACCTTCATCTCCCAGGTTCAGGCAAATTCTCCTGCCTCAGCCTCCTAAGTAGCTGGGATTACAGGCACGCATCACCATCCCCGGCTAATTTTTGTATTTTTAGTAAAGACGGGGTTTCACCATGTTGGTCAGGCTGGTCTTGAACTTCCGACCTCAGGTGATCCGCCCGCCTTGGCCTCCAAAGTGCTGGGATTATAGGCGTGAGCCCTCCCCCACCCCACTTTTTTTTTTTTTTTTTTGAGACAGAGTCTTGCTCTGTCACCCAGGCTGGAATGCAGTGGCTCAGTCTCCTCTCACTACAACATCCATGTCCTGGGTTCAAGCAATTCTCCTGCCTCAGCCTCCCGAATAGCTGGGACCAAAGGCATGTACTACTATGCCCGGCTAATTTTTATATTTTTAGTAGAGAAGGGGTTTCACTGTGTTGGCCAGGATGGTCTCCAACTCCTGACCTTATGTGTCTTTTTTTTTTAGTGCCCCTTCATCACATGCAACCCCTCTGCCTGTGTCCCCTCATCCCACCCTGACCCCTCTGCCTCTGCCTGCCCTATCCCATCCCTGATCCCTCTGCCTGTGTCCCCCAGCCTGGCCCTGACCCCTCTGGGCCTCTCCCCTGCTGGCTCTGACCCCTATCTCCCAGTGCTTCCCCATCTGGCCCTGACCTGAGCTGTCACTGTCTGAAGTGGGTCTGTCCCTGCACCCCCACCCACTGAACTGCCTCCACCCATGTGGGCCTCCCAAAGTGCTGGGATTACGGGCATGAGCCGCCGCACCCAGCCAGATGTCTCCTTTAGCTTGTGTGTTTTGCATCATTCTCTCTCACTGTGTTTCTCTTGTCATCACATGTTCTGTGTCTGTCTCCACACCAGCTCCCCCGTTCCCAAGAGACTACCCTGTTTCCCTAAGCCCCCAGTGTCCCACCTGGCTCCGCAGGGCTCAGCAGCCACACGGCTGAGGGGCCACGGCCTGGGCGCTCCGAGGCTGCCGGAGCTGGCGGAGAGATGCATCCCCGTACTGAATGCCAGAGCCCATCCTCTCCGGGTCGAGTTCGCCTGTGGGGAAGGGGAGAGGTCAGCACTGGTCGCCTGGAGACCCCTGGGCCTGCCCTCCACTCCCACTCAGGCCGGTTGGGGACTCACCTGAGTCAATCTTGTTGAGGATGGTGCGGGCACACTTGAGAAACGCCTCCTCCACGTTCTCGCCCGTGAGAGCGCTGGTCTCCAGGAACATCAGCTCTGCAGCGGCACACATTCCAAGGTCAGGGCCCCGGTCAGTCCCCACACTCCACTGCGCTCTCACCTGCTTACTCTCATCCTGTTCCCCCAACGTCCCATCCCCGCTTGCCCTCACCTCGGGCCTGCCACTAACATCCGCTTCCCTATATACCCACCCAGCTTTTCCTTCAGAGCTCAGCTCACATAGCTCCTCCTCCAGGAAGTCCTCCCTGACTTCCCAGGCTGGGTCAGGTGCCTATTTAGGGCTCCGACAGCTTCCTGTGGCCCCATATCCTGGTTCTGACCCCTCTGCTTGTGCCTCCTTATCCTGGTCCCAACCCTCTGCCTGGGTCCCCATCCCACCCCTGACCCTTCTGCCTGGGCCTGCCCCATTCCATCCCTGACCACTCTGCCCATAAGCCACCATACCCAACTCCCCAATCCCATGCAACTGCTCTGCCTCTGTCTCCCAATCCTGGCCTTGACCCCTCTACCTGGGCCCCCCATCCCACCCCTGACCCCTCTGCCCATGCCCCCCATTCCATATAACTCCTCTGTGTCCCCTCATCCCACCCCTGATCCCTCTGCCCATGCCCCCCATTCCATATAACTCCTCTGCCTGTGTCCCCTCAACCCACCTGACCCCTCTGCCTGTGCTCCACCATCCCAGCACTGACCCCTCTGCCTCTGCCTGCCCTATCGCAGCCCTGACCCCTCTGCCTGTGCTCCTCATCCCACCCCGATCCCTCTGCCTGCTCCCCTCAATCCTGGCCCTGACCCCTCTCTCCCAGCCCTGACTTTTCTGGGCTGTCACTGTCTGGAAGTGGATCTGTCCTTCCACTCTCCACCCACTGAACTGCGTGCTCCATGCACGTTGGGCCTAGGGCTGTCTCCAACAGTGTCCCCAGCACCATCTAGGGCAAACACAGGCCAATTCGAGTCTACCCATAGCCCCGTGGCAAGGCCCCACAGTCAGAAAGTTAGAGCCAATTCACACCCACACCTCTCTGATGGCAAAACCTCCTTTAAACCTGGAGGTTGCAAAACAGGGGAACATAGGCAGATCTCAAGCCAGCAGATGTGGGTGGTTTGGCCAACACAGTGTTTTCAAATGAGTTTACACTTGCAAACCTTTTTCTTTCTTTTCCTTTTTTTTTTTTGCAAACCTTTTTCTTTGTTTTTTCTTTGAGACAAGGTCTCACTCTGTCCCCTAGGCTGGAGTGCAGTGGTGTGATCATAGATCACTCCTGGGCTCAAGTGATCCTCCTGCCTCAACCTCCTGAGTCACCAGGACCCCACAGCCACATACCACCACACCCAGGTTTTTTTTTGTTTTCTTTTTGTTTTGTTTTTGTTTTTTTGTAGAGGTGGGGTCTTACTCTGTCGCTCAGGCTGGTCTCAAACTCCTGACCTCAAGTGATCCTCCTACCTTGGCCTCCCAAAATGTTGGGATTACAGGTGTGAGCCACTGCGGTTGGCCCTTGCAAACCTGGTGTGGGCTGTCAATATGCTGCATTTCCCTTAGCACCAGTGCCTGTTACCCTAGGATCTACCCCATCCATCTCCTGTATTCAAAAATGTGCCTTTGGGCTGGGCACAGTGGCTCATGCCTGTAATCCCAGCATTTTGGGAGGCTGAGGCGGGCAGATCATGAGGTCAAGAGATCAAGACCATCCTGGCCAATGTGGTGAAACTCTGTCTCTATAAAAAATACAAAAATTGGCCAGACGCGGTGGCTCACGCCTATAATCCCAGCACTTTGGGAGGCCGAGGCGGGTGGATCACGAGGTCAAGAGATCGAGACCATCCTGGTCAACAAGGTAAAACCTCGTCTCTACTA